GTGTGTGTGTGTGTGTGTGTGTGTGTGTGTGTGTGTGTGTGTGTGAGAAGCCTCTCAGGTCACCTGATCAGTGACGCTGCAGCTCAGAGTTTGGTCCAGCTGCTGCCTCGTCTCCGAGCGCTCAAGTGAGTCAACGAGACGACGCTTTGTTTGTTTGTTTGTGTGTTTTTGTTTGTTTGTTTGTGTGTTTGTTTGTTTGTCTGTGTGTGTTTGTGTGTGTGTGTGTGTTTGTGTGTATTTATTAGTGTTTGTTTGTTTGTGTGTTTGTTTGTGTGTGTGTTTGTTTGTATTTATTTATTTGTTTGTTTGTGTGTTGTTTGTGTGTTTGTGTGTTTTGTTTGTGTTTGTATGTGTTTGTTTGTTTATTTGTTTGTTTGTGTGTTTGTTTGCTTGTGTTTGTTTGTTTCTGTGTTTGTGTGTTTTGTTTGTGTGTGTGTGTTTGTTTGTTTATGTGTTTGTGTGTTTGTTTGTTTGTATTTTTTATTTGTTTGTTTGTGTGTTGTTTTTGTGTGTTTGTTTGTGTTTGTTTGTTTATGTGTTTGTTTGTGTTTTGTGTGTTTGTTTGTGTTTGTTTGTTTATGTGTTTGTTTGTATTTTGTGTGTTTGTTTGTTTTGTTTGTGTTTGTGTGTGTTTGTTTGTTGGTGTGTTTGTGTGTGTGTTAGTTTTTTTGTTTGTGTGTTTGTTTGTATGTTTATGTGTGTTTATTTGTATTTATTTATTTGTTTGTTTGTGTGTTTTTTGTGTGTTTGTGTGTTTTGTTGTGTTTGTGTGTGTGTTTGTTTGTGTGTGTTTGTTTATGTGTCTTTGTTTGTTTGTTGGTGTGTTTGTGTGTGTGTTTGTTTGTATGTTTGTGTGTGTGTTTGTTTGTATTTATTTGTTTGTGTGTTTTTTGTGTGTTTGTGTGTTTTGTTTGTGTTTGTGTGTGTGTGTTTGTTTGTTTGATTTTGTTTGTTTGTGTATGTGTTTGTTTGTGTTTGTGTGTTTGTGTATGTGTTTGTTTGTTTCTGTGTTTGTTTGTGTTTGTGTGTTTGAGTATGTGTTTGTTTGTTTGTTTCTGTGTTTGTGTGTTTGAGTATGTGTTTGTTTGTTTCTGTGTTTGTGTGTTTGTTTGTATTTGTTTGTTTGTGTATGTGTTTGTTTGTTTGTTTCTGTGTTTGTGTGTTTGAGTATGTGTTTGTTTGTTTCTGTGTTTGTGTGTTTGTTTGTATTTGTTTGTTTGTGTATGTGTTTGTTTGTTTGTTTCTGTGTTTGTGTGTTTGTATTTGTTTGTTTGTGTATGTGTTTGTGTGTTTGTTTGTGTTTTTGTTTGTTTGTGTTTGTTTCTGTGTTTGTGTGTTTTGTTTGTGTGTGTGTTTGTTTATGTGTTTGTGTGTTTGTTTGTGTTTTTGTGTTTTGTTTGTGTGTGTGTTTGTTTATGTGTTT